TTTTTTTTTTTTTTTTTAATTATATATTTTTGGATAACTTGGTAGGTTACTGGAAATGTATAGGGGAAAATCAATGGCAAGTTAAGAAGGAATATTTATAAATTTTTTTTAAAATTAGGTTGTAACAAGTTGGAGGACTCTTGGTGGATGGGTAGCATGGTTATAAATTTTCTTAAGCTATGGATTCAATAAATAATTTTATAATTTTTAACAAAAAATAGTTCCTAGTTATTGTTTAAATGTGACAATGTGTTTTTTCAAATTATCCCTCCTTTTTGTGGGTTATCTTAGGGTGAGTTCGTTCCGCCTTTGACTGAATAAAAGAAATTTAATAATTTGTACATTTCAATTGTTCCATAATTTAATACACCTTTATAATCGTTATTTATCAAGAATGATGTGATATTTATTATCAAGTGATTGTTTCTCGAATATATTTATAAAAAATGATGCTTTTTTGTTTTGAAAAGAATATTTATATAATAATGATGATTTAAATATGTTTTAAGTTTCTTAAATTGTAAATTTATTTTTAGTTTTTAAATTTAAAATTGATGTTTTTATTTCTTATAATTTTAAAAGAAATTTTTTGTAATCCTTTTATTTTATTGAAAAAATTTGTTATAATTCTTATATTTAAATTTTGTTAGAAAATTTGTTAAATATTATTATATAAAATTTATCTACTAATATTTATATTAGTGAAAACATCATATTTAAATTATATTAATATTATATAATTGTTTGATCCGTCACTTTCATATATATATATATATATATATATATATATTATATTATTGATTATTTGAAATATTAAAATAAAATTTTTAAAAATTATAGTAACTAAAATTAATAATTTTAAATTTAAAAGATCAAAACAAAATTATCTTAAATTTTAAGGAAAAAACATTTAAATTTTTAATATAACATATTTAAATTGTAGGTGCAGCCTCTTAATTAAGATGTGACTGTGAGAAATCAATGGGAGTGTTTGGTTGGGATTCTTTTTAGAGGGTGTGTTCGGAAGGAAAAGAAAAGAAAAATATTTTGTTTTTAAATTAAGAGGGTGTTAATTAATGATTGTTTGCTATTATTTATTTATTTATTTTCCAAATTTAAGACTGGTTTCTTTGACATGCAGTTTATTGCAGAACCTGGAGTTGGACACGAAATAACGAGATTTCATATGAAAGAATCAGCTCATTGGTTTGACAGGTTCTTAAAACCGTAACCCTTGCCCTCAGATGTGTTCTTGAAGCCCTGGGTGGTATTAAAATTATAAGCCAAGTTGCTCTAGCTCATTGCCTCTTTCAGGTGTATGACTGTATTTTTTTTTTTTTTTTTAATAAGCATGAGAGATTTAAATTAAAAGAGATTACAACGTGTATTTACAACGAACACAAAAACATAATTATAAATAAAAAATCAAAGTCGAAACTATGAGAAACATAAATTCGAGTTATGATATTAGTTAATGTAACTAAAAGAACATTCATGGACAGAACTAGTTATCTATTTCCATGAATGCAGTTTAATGCTATTAACACTTCTTTGCAATCCGTAACACCTTGCTAAAATGTGATAACATTTCGATGAAGTCATAGTGACCAGATAACAGAAACTAAACCACCAAAAAATACTAAGAACGTTTTTTATAAATATCAAGATTTGTCCAATATAAATAAAGAGAAGTTAAAGAATTAGGAAGGACTACCGCCACCTCCAACCAATTGGCCACAGCTAACCAAGTATTAAAAGTTATAGCGCACATTAGAAAAAAGATGAAAAGGGTCTTCAACAAAATAAGAGCAAAAAGAACATAAATTGTTATCCAACACCACACCACGTACTTGTAACAATGATTTGCACAGAAACACATTCAAAAACACCTGCCAAAAAAATACCAAGCACTTGATCGGAGCCTTGCTTTTCCAAAAACTTTTTATAATTTGTTGAAAATCTGAAGAATATTTAAGTTCTCCACCCAACAAGCGCCGCAGCCAAAGGTATGCACTTTTCATCGAATACACCATTCTTATCACAAATCCATCTCAATAATCTTGTTTAGAAGGAGAAATCTGCAAACCTTGAAGCATATCCAACAAGGTATTCACACTACTAACTTCATAGACAAAAGGTTCTCTTCTCCACTTAACCATTCACACCCACCTAGATCCCTCTCATGTTTTATTATGTGCCACCTCTGACAAAGGATCAATGGCAAAGGAGTACAAACAAGGGAAGACATCCAACAAGCACAAACTACCTAACCACTTATCCTCCCAAAACCAGGTCATAGTGCCATCACCAATACAACAATCGATTTTTTCATCTAACAAAAAATTTCCTTGTTGTAGTACACACTATATCCTTCCACTACCAAGAAGCTCTCCTATCCACATTAGAGTAATTAGAAAAGGACTCAATGCGCCCATACCTACTATGAAGAACTTTAGCTCACAACATCCCCAGTGTATGACTGCATGTGACTATATATGTGTGTCATGATATAAATAATGCAAAATGCTTTACCTGTTGAAACAACTACGGTCACCTAATGGAGGGACTTTAAACATTCTGTATAATCTTAAATTTAAGTTTAAATTTTATCATCTTTATTGTGAGCTGGAAAAATTGTTTTACCTGTCGAATGTATTTTCCAGTCCAAGATATCGCTAATTACCATAAAATGTTCCAATTGAAGTTTGACATCTCTTTGTACGTTGGAAAAATCGTATATAATCATGTTTATTTACCGTAAATCCCTTTTAAAATAAAATTAACCATAACAATTTATAACCCCATAACAATTAATCACTTGTGAAAAAAAAATCATTATTTGACATTTTAATAATTACTACCAAATACATAAATCAATATAAAATTGTTTTTGCTTAACGAGTACTGTTACCTTAACTAAATGATAAATACTTCATGAGAATATATATATATATATATCACCTATGTATAAATAACTTGAATAAACTGATTTTTATAAGTATTTATAAGGGAATTAGAAAACTAAAATATTTTTTTTTAAAATTATACACAATTTTTTTACAACAAAAACTATGCATATAAGTTAAAATCATTTTTTTTATAAAATTACAATAGAAAACTTTTAAAAAATTGTTTATATACAAATTATTTTTTATTAAAAAAAAAAACTACGATGAGACAATAGAGATTGATCAACTTAAGTCTCGATACATATACCTCATTCTCCTAAATACAGAAGATAATTTTAACTTATGTAAGAAGTTTTATTTTCGTACTATAAGTCGTTATTAAGAAGCTTATGTAAATAGGATCTTAATAATTACTAGGATTTTAGCCTAGTGATTAGATGGGGAAGGCTTGGAGTAGTTAGAAGCATGAGGACCTAGGTTCAATCCTCATTACGATCATCTTTGTAATCTTTCCTATCTTTACCTAAAAAAAAATAGGATCTTAACCTTTTTTTGAAAACTCATCTTTACTTAAAGTAAAAATTCAATATATAAAAAATCATATATATATATATATATATATA